GATTCAGAAATATATACTATTCTCATTAGTAAAAGTCAGTCAATGTTGCAATGAAATGTGAAAGGAATAATATATTCTTAAGGCTAATTAGGAAAAAACACGCACTGTTTTGATTGAGAAATTTAGTGAAATAATGAATAAAAAAATATTTTTTTTAAGAATCGAAAATGAGAACAATCACCAAATACTGATTACAATTTCGTATCAACCTTCCAGCTTCGATAAATTTCTAAAACTGCATATAGATTAAAAAAATAAATTACCAGCTCTTAAGAGCATTAACAAATTGTATTACGAACCATTTTTTTTCCTTTTTATATTTGCTTGTTAATTGTAAATTTTTATTTTATAGGATTGCTTTTCCCAGATTAGTAAAAAGGCAATAACTGAAGCAAATATTCCTGCTAATTGCAAAGTTACATTTGAAACACAACTAAACGAAATGAAGAAGAAATTTGCAGAGGCATTATCAAAATAGAGAATCTACATAAGACAAAAAAAAAGTTCATCAATTATAAAACATAAATAAAAGTTATGATTATACACTTGTCCAGTTTTTATCTATAAAAATACAATGTAGAGTTTATCTATGTGTGTCTATCTCTCTTATTAGTTCCAGAACCGTGTATGCTAGCATTTATATGAGTTCTAGCGTAAACTCTTCAGAATTTAAATCAATTATTGAAATCTTTAAATCTAATTCCGCTAAAAGCAAATTCAAAGAATAAAATTTTTAGTCAATAATCAATTTTTAAATTTTTTTTTTAAATTGAAATAAATGAGATGCGTTAGGAAAACTTATAGAAACAAAACAATAATTATGTTTTTAGAAAACAATTACTATTGGAGATTCACAACATTGTTAAAAACGCTATTGTAAATTTCATAAATTAGAGCTACCATTTAAAGCTATCAAAAAATTAACTATTAGGAAATAATAAAAAAGACTAACTATTAGAATGTTAAACTTAAATAAATGACATGCAATAGAAAAACTAGCAGAAACTGAACATTAGTTATTAGCTGCTGCTCTTGCGGGAGCACTTGGATTTAAATTTTAACTATTTGTCAGAGATGTTTTAACTATTTGTTAGATGGATATTGAATTTCAGTAATAATTTAAAATCTGTTCAGCAGCTATTAAATTATGCAAAATTCCATAAGTAAGAGTTCAAGCAATTTCGGTACATCAAGCAGCAGAAATATTTTATTTTATAACCATCGTTGAACAACCGACCCAATTTTTGGGTTTAGGACTACTAATGATCAACTACGTAGCCTTGTAATTTTAAACCTAATCCAGTAATTGTAATTTTAAACCTGGAACAAGTATTAGGAGAAATTTGCTTTCATGGTGGACTTTTTTATGGAACTAACCTGCATTTGCGTTACATGGAGAGGAAGACCACGAAAGCCTTCTATGATTAGCCTGACTTCAAAGGGGCTCTAACCCATGATCCGTTTACCACTGAGAATATTTCACGCCAGCACTGTGGTCGGTGCAAGCCGGATGCGGAATTCGTATCGACCAGCCATCGCAGGGATTCGAACCCGGTTCACCTCATTCGAAGACTAACGCTCTATCCCCTGAGCAATCGCGGCTCCAGCTGAAATATTAAAATTATTTGCATCTTTTCCATGAGATAAGATAGAAAACTCATAGGATTACTTGCATAGTATTACAGTACATTGCTATTACTCCAAAAAGGCCAGACACAAATAATTGGTATGAAAGCATTCAGCATCATAGCATCGTTAATGTTTAAAATTTCTAAAATCATTTAAAAAAAAGGATAAAAATCAAATCTAAATAATTACTTCGTGACTAAGTTTTTATTTCCGTTAAAGTGCAAAATTATTCTAAATAAATACTTAACATAATACTTACCAACTCTTCAACACTGCTTAAACTATCGCTTTGGAATACCTAACAAAATGAGTCTGTGTAAATACTTAAAGTATAACAAAATTTTTTACGTTTCTTAAATTATTACTTAAGATAACCTAACAAAATGAATAATTATAGATAAATTTAGTGTTGCCAATTTAAATAGAGAAATGCCCGCGTTTTTCGTGCTCCATTAAAGAAATACATAGACACTTTTGAAAAACAAAACAGCATGCCTATTACTCATTTTCCCTTAATGAAATCATTATTATTAAAGAAATAATAATTTTATTCATTAAAAAATTATTATTAGTTGTGTTGTTAAGTATAATAAAAACACAATATAGAACACTTTGTTCATATGAACTGTTCGCTTTTAATTCTTCCCAACTTATAGCACAGTTTTTTTTTCAGCCTTTCGTTGTCCACACAAGAAAAGAATTCGCAATCACAACGAACTATAGGGGGCGTTGTCGTATGAGACGAATTCCTGCGATTTCCATCAGAACAGTCATTCAGTTGCTCTGTAAATGTCTTCAGTGTAGCATTGTAACGTTCCTTCTTTATTGTGACTTATTAAATTTGAAAAAGATAAATGTTTGATATTGTTTCTTTTGCAAACGAAAACAAAATGGTATCTCTTTTTTTTTTAGAGAAGGAACATCCAAAGCACATCTGAAAAATATTTCTAAATAAAGAGATGCATCTTCTTATTAGAGTTAAAACCAAATGCCTGAGAAATAGTTTTAATAAATTTAATGATATAACATGAAAAGCCTATTTAAACTTTACATTCCATAGTTTTAAGAATCATATTACTTCAAACATTAAAATATGCAAAAAGTATACATAAGCTCACAATTTTATGTAATTTAATTTAGCAAAAAAGTTTTTTGAAAACAATTTTTATCAAAAAATTTAAGTTTCAATAAAAATCATTATTTAGAAACTAAAAAACGTAAAATAAAGAATGCTTACGAAACGAAAAAACGATTCTTAAAATTCCTCACATTAAAATAAAAAACTTTCATGTTTCTTTTTTGTTTTTATTCATAATCGGACGTAGAAAACCATTCTATAGAAAATTATCATCAAATAAGAAAAAAAAATATCTACAAGTAATTTTTAACAAAGGTAAATTATTAACAAGTACAAGTAAAATTGTAATACTGCTTTATAAATCGGGAGAATTCCAAAATTATTTGTTCTTCGTTTATAAACTTTATTCTCAAATAATATATACATAGATTATCCATTCATTACTTTAAGAGGACATACCACACAATAAAATTTTATAATTGCAAGATCTCGATATGAATTTCAATATGTAACTGAAAAACAGAATAGCTGAACTCTAGTTGAAATTTATCATTCAAAATTAAAAAATACTTACCAAGAAAACTATAAAATTTTATTAATTATCAACATAAATGATATTATTTCAAGTAATTCGGATGATTTTTTTATTGTTGTTTTTCGAATTATATAGATTCAGAAATATATACTATTCTAAAACTATTACAGTTCTGCACGTTCTGAAATCATATTTATCAATTGGAATAAAGTAAGAAATGTTTTACTTCACTTTAATTTGTAATTAATTGAAGACAAAAAAATGGATTTTACCGTACTACACACATCAGTACAGTGTGGAAGTTATCGGTTGCAAGTTTGTTGACAGTAGAAAGGAAAAAATTATTGGGAAATTTCTTCAAATGTTGGGAGCGTTCTGTTTCTGAAAGATTTACCAATCTACTGGTTCGTTTTTTCAAGTTCGTCTGTCTTTTCTTTAGGGAAATTTTGCTTCTTATTTGCTACTAAGAAAATGGCGTTCGACTTTGCCAATGATTATGATGGAACTAAATGCCTGATATTTTCAGGCTCCCGCTAGAGGGCGCACTCAAGCGTTGGAATCGCGAATTTAACATCAGAAATTTGTAAACATATGTGCTCACACTCAGTGGCGTACGCAGAATTTTTTCAAAGGGGCGGTGTTCATAATTTTCTGAAACTACTAAAAGAAATTCGAGTCTGTAATAAAGCACTATTATTTCCCTAATTTAGACAGCTGGACAATTTCGACTTTTCATTTGGACAACATTGTTTAGTTAAATTTTGATTTGATTTTTTTAAGTTTAAGAACATAATGTAATATCTTCTAAAAAAAGGTCCAATGTCATATGGGTGGGAAGTAACACTTTGAGGGCCACTTTGACATTCATCAGATTTTGTTATGCTAGAAACGTTTTCTTCAACGGAAGTATCACATTTCTGTACAACAGAAAAACTTACATTGGTACTAGATGCTGCCACCTCACTAATTTCAGGTCGCGGTTTTTTCTCAAAATAATTAAAAATTGTTAAATTCTTGCGTTTTGACATCCTGAAGATTCAAGAACAGTATATATATATATGGATTGGTACAGAAATATCCGCTATGCTACGATCTCAAAGTTTCGAGCTGGAATGAATAACTTCAACGAGCACAGTATCTCCAATGGTATTGTTACTGATTTCTTCACTAGTCGAAATAGTGGCGGCGACGGGTTCGGGGATTGAATGAACTTTTTGTTGAGATAAATCAAAGCAGATTTAGCGACAAGCTCCGAAAGACAAGCGGCAGAGATAACTCTTAGTCTGACTAACTGCCTCCACTGTACTCCGTTCCCCCTTTTATATAACTTTTCACCGCATCTCCAAAATTCTCGAATTGTCTCAAAGACGACAGAACGTCTAGGATTCCAGAGTCATCGCGTAAAGACCTCGCGAATGACAGCCAGTCTCGAAAACTATACTGGTAGGACAGAAAGGAACCAGTCCGTAACAGTATCACGTGAATTTGGTTTCAAAAGTACAACCCTATTATAGTAACAGAGATGCCAATTTGCTCTGGACAGCAAATATATATTTTAAAGTGGTAGTTTATCAATTGTGACTCTTGGTTTTATAAATTCAATTTAGTAGATTTTTATCCACCACTATTTCTAAATAGTTCGTAGGCTTATATAATTCACCACTTTATAATACTTATGTTATGCTATACCTTTTAAAAAGCAAGCAAAAGTAGTCAATTATGTGCAAAATTTATTTTTTAGTTATTTACCGTTTTTTAAATTATTTTGGTGTGTCCGGAGCAGTTGGCATCTCTGTAGTAAATGTTTTTTTCAGTATTCTGAGAAATATAGCGAGAAAAAAAAAGTAGGCATAAGGCAGATAAAAATATATGGTCTTAAAAAGTAATAGCTCAATTAATTTGAACTAAAATTTTTATTTTTGCCATTCTGTCTGAGCTCAAGGGGGGTGTTTATATATATATATATATATATATATATATAGAAGGAGAGATATCGCGCGGCAAACAATGCCCCTAGAATGTATGGCTATCAGTTAAACTGCCATACAATATAGGGGCCTACTTTGCCAAGAGGTATTATCTTTCCTACAAACGCTCTGATGTACAGAGGTAGGCGAGATTGCTCCGCCCGGAAGACCCCTGTAAAGCGTATAAATGAAGAAAAAAAATTTATCATTCAAGTTTTTTTCCCTTTATTTATTGTTACACATATATATGCAAGCTTGTGTGGTCAAGTATGATTTTTGCAGCTGTAAAAGCAGGTAAATGTTAGCTCATAGTTTACATAGAAATAAAAACAAGCAATTGACCAAAAATGAGTTAACAAGTATTTGCTAAATAAAATGAAGACTATTGAACTTTTTCGCTTTTTCTCAAATTATATTAGTACTGTAAAAATTACCAACTCTTTTGATATATTTACTAGATTTTACCTCTTTTACTGCCAAACAAAATGGTAATGGAACCACATTTTACGTTAATTTTACTAAAAGACATGACGAAAGCGCTTGGGAAAAAATTACCAAACACTTTTGTAATTTTTCCATAGCAAAGTAGGCCCCTATATTGTATGGCAGTTTGTAATTCTTCCATAGAGTAAGAAAATACGGTAACGTTTACCATATTCAAGTAGTTTTGACCATACTTTTGTCTCAGCGCATGTGTAGAGGCACTAAACTAAGTTATTTTTCAAATAGAAAAAAATGGTGACCTTTTGAACTGCAAACATGCAACTCGTACGAAAACCATGTAAATCTAATGAAAAAACACTTTTTAGCGTTATAGCATGCGAAGTTGCGGTTAGGAGAAGTTTTCCAGCGCAAATTTCTGTGACCTAAACTCTACTTGTCGGCAGTCCAAAACGTGGATTTATCGGGAGAGAATACTTATACACTCGGTTTTCTATGCATAAATGAAATTTTAAAAAAATAAATAAATAAATAAATATGAAATCTAAAGTTTGGATTTCATTGATATTAGGAGAACTGAAACACTTCTATCGTAACTGAAACAGGTCTATTGCATCGAATAATCTTGTATTCAACTTTTACAGCCCTGCATGATTTAGTTCTTTATAAAATCACAAGCGCATCGCAAAAATTACAAGGTTCAGAGGTTCATTGAGGAAGAAAGAAATGTGCAGAAACCACGGTGGAATTTAAAAAAAACTTAGCTTTCGATAGTCAGTTCGAGAATTATTAACTGTTGAACTTTTATAAAATAATAACATCCACGATGATTTACTGCCCGCTGAAATACATCCACAGGCGAAATTTGAAATTTGGCATGCTTAGAAGAATATTTTCATTCATGCTCTGTATTTGTACTTTTATTGAAGTTCCAATATGTTCGAAAGTTATTGCAATTTCTGGTGCTCTTTTCCGCGAATTTTTATTTCACTTTTTTAAATAATTTTTATTTATCCGTTGGTGTAGAAAAATTGATCTCTCTCGAAATATTCATTTTATAAAATTGTACTTGGCTTAATACCAAAAGTAAAAAAAAAGGAAAAGAAAGGGAAAGAAAGAAAGAAAGAAAAGAAAAACAATTAAAAAATAAAATTTAAAAAAAATTAAGAAAAAGAGATTAGATGTTGCCTGATATAAATCTTAATATTTATATCGAAATTTTTACAAATGCAAACCACTTAAGAGAGATAAAGGCAATTTCCAATATGAACTGTTGTACGCAATAAGGTTACCTTAAAATATATTGTTGACTTCTCATTTTTTTTCTTACTGGGTCAAGCATTCCGCATTCCTAAATTACGCATTCTTTTTTCAAGTATAGTTGATTACTTTTCAAATGCAAGTAATCTTTCATTTTGTTACGATTAATATGCCAACAAATTGTTCGCGCATAAAATTATAATAATTATGCATATTATAAACATAATGACCTTTAAATAAATAATATCGAAATTTAAGGAACAAAAACAAAGATGGATGAGGATTAACCACGGAGATTGGAGAGCAAAACAAGTTCGGAGTGGAGTCTTCTAGAACAATAAATAAACCATTCACAAATAAATAAATAAATAAAATAAAATAATGAGTTGCTGTCCTTGATATTTTCATGCATCGATTTAAGCTTATTTTGCCTTTTCTAAACGTATCAATTTATTGGAATAAACTAAAAGTTCATTAATCATGAAATATTGAAAAACAAATTAAATGCAAAAGCAAGGTACAATTGAGCAGCAGATGCTTATAATTAGCACGAAATGTCTCCTATATGGGAAATAAATGGCAAAACATGTTATTTTTGTTTCCCAAAGATTAGAATCATATTTGCTGATTTCGTGTCAATCTATGTTTTCTTTGACTAAAAGGAAATATTTTGCTTCGTGAACAATGCATCATTCATCAACATCGTAATTCTTATTTAATGAATTTCGTGAAGACCTATTTGGCAGTTTTTTGAAATTATATAAATACGCAACGCTTAATCTGAAGATAGGTCCGTTCTAAGAATTTACCATTCAAAGATGAAGTGTGCATTAGTTGCTGTTGTATTAGTTTGTACCATCTGCATTAATTTCGTCAACGGAGATGATTGTTCAGGTTTAATAAAAAGCTTTTTGAAGAAACAGCTAGGTATGATTTATTATTATTATTATTGGTCTTATAGCTCCTAAGACGATGGTTATGTTTCCTGGAACTTATAGCTTGTGAGATTTAAACTTATAAAATAAACGTTTATTGAATTAAGTACAGAAAACCAAGCATATCAGTTATCAGTAGTAACAACACCGCAGTTCTAAAAGAGCTGGAAAAAGGAAAGGATAGAACACCTCCTGGCAAAAGAAGCGGCCCATTTCACAATTCTTCAGTTTAATTATTTTTAAATTTCTTTTTTGAATTTCTCCAAATTTTCTATGTTTTATTTGCAATTTAAAAACAGTATTCAAAGAAATATTATTTGTTATACAATATTAGATAGTTACTGCCACAAAATGTCTAGAAATATGCGAAATAAGAAAGCATAATTTAAAAAAGAAATAGTGTTTTACTCACATTTGTTGTAGAATTGTTGAGCAGTATAAATGTCACACCAAGACAGTTTTCATATCAAAAATGTTCTCACACGAGATAATTCTATTCAATCGATTGAACAATAGATGGCAGCACAAAACTGAAGCAGGAATTAGTGTCCCCATTGTTACAGTGGCAAGCCCATATTATAATGTGTTTTGTTCTTCCAGCAGGTTTATTTTATAGGATCATGTGGGTGGAAAGTAATCTTCCCGAGACCAACGAAGGGGTCAATTTTACAGAGATGATTAAAAAAAAATCGGACGTTAAACATCGAACTTATCAGAATTAGACGGGTTTTTTTTAATATCATATAGTGTTTTACTTCGAATTTTTTGAGTAGTAAGCTGACAATATGAAAGAAACTTTTCAAGAGCACGGTCTTTTAAACTCTCTCACTCACAGTATTGCATTAAAATTTGATTTTTCGCTTAAAAATTGTTGCGCAGAATGTCTTTTATTTTGCGTCAATATATTGGAAAAAAACTACTTGGTCAGTTTTTTGTTTAATGAAGTGTTTCTTAAACAGTTGAAATGTTTAAAAAAAGTTGTAGTCAATTGACTGAGGAAAAACTTCTAGCTTCGGCTTCTTCAGGAAATTTTTAATTTTATTTTAATGTTATTCTTGAAAATTTATAGTTTTATATCAAGAAGAAAAATAACGTTTTCCGATTTACGCATTCTAGCAATAACACTTTCAAATGCATAATTTCAATTCATTGATAATTACGATTTCCCTCAATGATTTGTTTAAGTAAAAAGTCATTTTTCTGTGTCAGAAAAATAAACTAATATTCACAAGATCATCACTTACTTAAAATCATGCTGATGTTAATCAAGCAAAAAACTGCATTGAAACAATAAAAGTTACTCAGATTGAAAAAAAAAAAATGTGGAAAATTTTAAATCATGTAAATTTTAGTTGTAGTTTGCTTGTAGACGTAAGCTTTTATAAATTAATGAAAACATTCAGATAGTAACAGTCTTTCTTTTTTAATGTATTTAATCCGAAAATATTCTATATTTTGTGCAATTAATAAAAGCATTGATATTTTTAATGCTTTTATTAACTGTGACAATGTTACAATCACTAAAGCTGTACAACATATATTCTTACTGTGATTTGATTTTGTTTTCAAAATTGTCACATAGATGTTTTTCTAAATGTGACATTGATGTTTTTTCAAATGTGACATTGATGCTTTTTCAAATGTGACATCGATGTTTTTTTAATTGTGACATTAGTCAATTTTATAATTCTCGATAATTTCTAATATTTTTTTTTAACCATCGTTTAACAGTTTTGAGTTTATAACTAATAATGTTCAACTAATTTTCAACTGTAATTTTGAACCCTAGTAGAAGTTAAGGGAATTCTTGAATGAAGTACAGGACGAAATTGCCTTCATGGAGGACTTTTTGATGGTACCAACCTGCATTTGCGTTACACGAAAAACTTCCACAGTTAGCCTGATGGGAAAGGGACTCTAACCCATGATCCGTCACTAAGGTTATGTTACATCAGCACTGTGGTCAGAGAGGGCCAGGTGCTGAATTCATTTCGACCAGCATATCACTGAGAACCCGGTTCATCTCATAGGAAGGCGAGGGCTCCATCTTTTGAGCCACCACGCCCCAATTTCTTATAATTGATGATTTTCGTACTGGGTGATTTTTAATTGTGATATTTTAGTAATTTAATAACGTTCTATAACTAAACACTTGATAACTCAAGCCTGACATTCTTTTTCTAACTAAAAATATATTCACCAATGGTTTATACACACGAAACAAATTTCAAATTTGCGTAAGCAGCAAATCAAAATATAATCAGTCTTGAACGTCCAAAACAACGATATCGGAGACAATCACAGCGGCTATATTGTTATTTATTTTTAATTTTGATGTATTTAATGTTATTTTCTTTCATTTTCATTTCAGATCTCGCTCAAAGTGGACAGGTAGAGTGTGCCACGAGACTAGCAGTAAGTGTTTTTCGTTTAATTTATTTAAGAGCCACTTTGGTTTTGAAAACAACTTATTGTTTCGCTTAAAAACTGCCTTATATCTTGAAATGATAAGCCCCAAACAAAGAGAAATAAGAAATATCGATGTGCTCGAATATTGAAACTTCACGCAGCTCTTAAAGCATTTTTCGAAACTTTATTTTTCTCAACTCAAACAAATCTTTACTGATTGACTTCAAATTTAAGCTCTTTATTAGATAACAACCATTTCAAATCGTAGAATTATCTCACTTTATAGCAAAGTTCTTCTTGAGATACATTATATGATAATTATATGCAATGAAGTAGAATAAGTGGTGTAAGAATCAAAACTCGTCTTTTCAAAATTTTCAAAAAGTGACGTTAAGCTCATTGTCTTTAATTTATCCATAATAACATGTAGATTGTCTTCAAATAGTTACAGCCGATCCAATTATGGGTTTACGCTACTAATGCTGAACTCTGTAGCCTTGTGATTTTGAACCTAATTCCAGAAGACAAGGGAACTCCTGGGTCAAGTAATGGGAGAAATTTGCCTTCGTGGAAGACTTTTTAACGGAACTAACCCGCATTTGCGTTACATGGAGAAAAAGACCACGAGAACTTTCCACGGTTAGCCTGGGGACAAGGGGACTCTAACCCATGATCCGTCTACCACTGAGGATATTTTACGTTAGCGTAGTGGTCGGTGCAATCTGGATGTGGAAATCGTATCGACCAGTCATAGCAGGGATTCGAATCCGGTTCACCTCATTGGAAGACGAGCTCTTTTTCCGGAGTCAATTCTCCCCCAGGTTTTTCGATACAATCTAGACTACAACTTGCTTTATAAAATAAGTTGTGATGACAGAAAAACTTTTCGCTCACCAAGTCAACTATGTCTACGATAGATAAAAATTTCAATAAGATTTATGCATTCGTTTCCGAGATGCTGTGTCAATCTCAGGTTGATAAACCGAAAGTGAAGAATTTCTAAAGGCTCAGCTCTGTCTCTCTTAATGTTTTTTTTTTCCAATGTTACAATATTAGCAGTATTTTTTTCCCAATGCCCACCTGTGTTAACATCCATCAATTCAGGCATATACAGGGCGATTTTTGTTGGCCTCTCTTTCAGGGGAACCATATTAGGTGGGCCAACGTCACTCCTACAGTGAGGACAGATAGTACAGAGAAGGAAAGAACATTTATGCCTTGCCCGGGATTCGAACTCAGAACCTTTCTGATGCAAGGACAGTTTCCCGTCCCCTACACAGGCCGGACGGCATATTAGAAGTATTAGATACTTAAAAAATAAGTTTGATAAAGACAAACTTGGCACATGAAGCAATGCCTAGGTATTGTTTAGATAAGTAATTTTATGGTGCTACAAGAGGGTTAATTTTACTAGAAGGAACAAGAGGAAAAGAGAATAATTTTATTTCGCTTTCTGTTATAAGAAAAGTATAATTTTATAATAATAACAATGTAATATTAATAATAACTGGATTAACATTCATAACAATTCGATAGGAGTGTGTGCGTACTTGCTTGGTATACTCTAAAATTGGTGTTTTTTGGTGGTGTTAGGTAATACCCTAAAATTGAAGTTTTCAGAAAAAAGGGCTCTTTGCTTGGTATTCCCTACTGTGATATTTGATTCACTAATTAATTCGAATAATATCTCTCATTGTTTCTCTAAACGAGCTTAATTTGACTAACCAGAAAAAACTTATGCAGTTTGGTAATTAACTATTATTTTTTTTAATAGCTCGCTCAGTACCACTGTGGTGGTGATCCAGAACGAAGAAAAACCACATTTGTAAGTTGAAAATTAACTCTTATTAAATTTTATGCATTAAGTTTTTAACACAGAACTACAATGTCTGTATTAATCAATTTGCTTCTGATTATTTCAGTAAAAATAAATAACCGTCATGGTAATAGCCGTCATTGCCGGCCATTAAAAGATAGAGCAATGAAAAACAAGCTTGGCCATGGCTTGATACGTGTTGTTCATTCCCTGTCTATTTTAAATAATATAGCTATTTACAGCTATTTTCGGGGCATTGCCATAAAAAATATAAATTAACCTATTTCCTGAAGGAAATCGTGGTGTATTCTTTATTTTCATTGATGTGTAGGTCACGGTTTATTGAAAATTTATTGAGAGACGACCATTATACCTATTGAATTTTTTTTTACTTGGATGATACCGTTACAGCTGTTCAATACGTTCCAACTCCGATTAAAGTTATTATGAGTGTATTATTGCCTGGTTATTTTGTTTGTTTTACATCAATTTATCTACTTATCAAATTTTGTTTAAATCAATCATCTGTTTCTTAAAATTATTAATGAAATCAAAAAAATACCTTTAATTTTAAACAGCAGTATGTTAAATCCGTGTCTGTTTTTGAATAGTCCAGCGAACTTTAAATTTCAACATCCCCTAATTTTGATGCTTTTATTTAAATTGTTTTCAACAATTAATCAAAATCCTTCATATGTATCATATTTTTGACTGTGATCATGAATCGTAAATTACTTGATTTGAGCTTTGCTTTTTTATTAATTAACTAATAAAATTTAGTGTCCGTATGCCAGTTTATGTATCTAAACCGGTCCATGTATCTATGTGCTCTAAATAAAGTCATAAAATTTTAATAACATTAAAATTAGTAGCTTACTGCTGTATACACTACAATCATCAAAATTATTTAAAATTTTTGGATTTTAATTTTAAAACGTATTTAGTGATTTTAATTCTTCGAAAATTTTGTCATTTTTCAGTAAATATGAGTAACTTAACCCAAAAATAGACTAGCGATCTTTTCATTTTTTTTTCTTTTTGCAATTTTATGCACTATGCTTTGTTAACGAAATCATTCGATCAGTTAATCTCTTTTAAGTTTCAGTGATTGCTTTTTTTTTAGTTCTTGTGGGAAACAAACTGTACTTTTAGCTCAAATTAATTAATACTGTCATATTTATACTTTTGCTGAATATTTATACTTTTGCTTTTCGAAAGGGCTTTAGGAAGCATAATAATCTTTCTATTTATTAATAAAAGTGATAAATAGACAAATATAAAAGCTAACGAATGAATTTATGTGTAAAATGAGCACAATATCCTGTAGGGGAGAGTTGGATAAAAACTGGATACGTCGCCTAGGGACCAGACTATTGCAGCTATCTCGCGAACAACGACAGAAACTTGTTATTCGATCGTGATTATATCACTCTCGGTGTGTCCCGCCTCGAGATCACTAGTTGATAGAAAGTTGTAGGTCTCAGAACGTTTTTACTCTATTTTCTTTGCAATTTTCTACATTTACGTGCGTTGTTTTTTTGCATTGCACTGCCTACATACATGGAATTACAATTCCGATGAGTATTACGTTTGCTGAAGCATTTATAAACGAGTATTCCCATATGAAGGCTATCTAATTTTTCTTTCAAGTTTAGGCAGCTGCCCTGTTTGTTTCGAAAAGTATCGGATTTGACAAAACAGGACACTTATGAGTTGGATAAAACGGGATTAAGTTTTTTATGTCCCGTTTTATCCACCTATTTATTTGTTAGCCTATTACTTCTACTATATTGAAATTATAGTTACTATATCATTATTATTATTATTATTATTTCTATTATATTGTTATTACTATATTGAAAGAGAGGTAAAAAAAGACTCGTACAAATACATTGACCCCTGAATTGGTGGCAGTGAAAAAGTTGGACAGATATGAGACAGTATTCAATGCTGAACAAGAAAAAAAGCATGAACATGTATTGACACTAAAAGAGAGATTATTTAGTCTAACTCTAACGGACATACGAATGCTAGCGTTTGAGTTAGGTGAGAGAAACAATATTAAACATAATTTTAGCACAGGAAAAAAATTACTGAAAGTGTTGGTTGCATTCATTTTTTGGCAGACAAAAATAACTTAGCCTCCGAAATCCAGAACCCACGAATATGGCCCGAGCAAAAGGGTTCAATCGCACTGCAGTTAAGCAATCTTTTTAACATTTGAATTCTTTATTAGGTAAACATAAGATTACTCCAAATGATATTTAAAATATTGATGAAACAGGAATTCTAACAGTGCCAAACAAGCCTTCAAAAGTGTTGAGTCTACGAATCAAAAAGTAAGTAGGTAGCTTGTCTTCAGCCGAACGAGGAGTTTTGGTTACTGTTGAAACATGCATCAGTGCAGCTGGGGTATTCGTCCCTTCTATGCTTGTATTTCCTCGAGTGAAGGAAAATCCAAGTCTCATGGATCCCAGGATCGTTTGCAGTGTATCACGAGCCCAGCTGGATCACTAAGGAGAGCTTCACTGTTTGGTTTAAAAAGTTCGTAGAATTTTCCAACCCTAGGCATAAGAAGCCAATACTGTTGCTGATTGATGGAAACAACACCCGCACCAAGAGTTTTTAACTTGTAAATTTGGCAAGAGAAAATAATGTAATCATCTTAAACTCCCCCCCACCACATACAACTCATCGCCTTCATCCCCTGGATGTCAGTTTCATGGCTCCACTGAGCGTGTATTATGAACAAGAAGTTCGAAAGCGGCTGTTCAACCATTCAGGTAGGTACGTTATTACTTACGAGGTTGCAAAACTGTTCAACCTACTCACGGGCAGCTGCTACAAAAAATACCGTTAAAGGGTTTTTATAAAACTGGCATAAGTCCTTACAATCCCAACGTCTTCCCAGATCTCTTGTTTCCACCCTCTGTCACTACTGATCACCTGATGTCAGACCTGCAACAAGAACCTCCAGGCGCTGGACACCAGACTGATGTGAGCAAAGACCAAGAGCAACCTTCAACATCTTCGAGGGACATCGTGGGAGTAGACCAAACTGCGACATCCTCATGGGGGAAAGGATTAGATCTATCTTGTTATCGACCAAAGCTACCCTTTTCCATCTCCCCAAAGTGTGCTCTACCTGTACCTCAAGTAAAAAGACTGCTCCCAGAAAAAATGGCTGATAAGAGAAAGAAGAAAACTGTAGTAATAACATCACCTCCATATAAAAGTGCATTAGAAATGGAAGAAGAAGAAAGGATGATTAAACTACAAGAAAGAACCAAGATAATTGAATAAAGAACTGTTAAAAAATTCCTCTTAAGGGTACCAGACACATCATGACAGTGAAAATTATGGAATAAGCGTTCATGTTTGAAAACCCAGGAAATCTTTAAAAACATATGTAGTATCATAATTTTTGTGTACTTAATTACAAAACAACAGTCTATATAAAAATGTTAGAAGCAATAAAATCCCATGAATACAATTTTTAGAAATTTTGCTTTATAGTTTTCTAAAAGTTAATTATGCTTTTCAGTTAGTTTTACACAAAAAATTAAACATTGTAAGCCCTGTCCCGTTTTGTCCAACCCAGGTATGTTAAAACGGGATATGTAAGAGTTTGGGAAAAAAAAATTTCCTATTTCACAGTCATTAAAATTAGTTTAAAATATGTTTTTTCTGTGCTTCAATAAGTGAAGCAGCTACAAACAAAATAATGTGTGGTTCTCTTAAACAGATTTTCAGTAGCAAGTAAGAACAATAATGGTATCCCGTTTTGTCCAACTCTCTCCTACGTGTCTTTCTAAGGCAGAAAGTCAATCTAACACAGCGCGCACTTTGACGCCAAAAAGGGCGACTCAATTAATTTAAAGTTTTCTTATTCGAATAAAAGAAATAGGTCGGATGAGATGCGGAAATTTATTTAGGTTATAATTTAAAAGCAATTTTAATTCCTTCGTTAGCAGTAAAACGTTTGATGGCATTGAAGATTTTTAGAAGAAATTCTTTAACTTTAACGGGTAAAATTAAAGCTCAAACACAATAAGAAATATGTACAAAAGGTACATGTTACCTGTCAGCAACTCTGAAAGTTAATATTTTTTAACTGTCGACTGAAACATAAATTAAGCCTATAATAATCAGATGTTATAATTGGTCTGCAATCTAAGTTTGTAATTGGAATTATTTTAATAGAATATCATTAGTTATGTAAATATATCTTTTCAGATGATTTTTGGATTTATTATAGATAGCTTTCTATGTCTTTTTTGGAAGCTTTATTTCTTTTGAAATATCTTTTGAATGCCATTTTGAAATATCTTTTGATTGCCATGCATATATCTCTGTAATATTATTCTTTTTTTTCTTCTTTAGCCCAAGTTTGTAGAATTTATGAAGTCGAAATCAGACGAAGAAAAGCAAGAAGTTAACGTAAGTTAATAAAAACATATTTTTTAATGTACATAATTTTGTCGAGTGATTCCAAAAAAAATATCAACCTGAGTAACTTTGCCAAATTTAGAAGAAAAAAATCTAGAATATCTTATTCTTAAAATTGCCTTTCTCAAGAACTATTCCAGATAGCATGCAACCTTACGGTAAACGTTGTATTTTCTTTTTCATTTCATTGGCATAGAAAGGTTGAATAATTAATCCTTTTTTAAACTTACAAATATTAGTATGCCAAGTTTGTTTCTTTAAAGAATGAGCAAAGTCGTACAAAAAACTTAACCAAAAATCAAATTTTTTAGGTCTTACTGTAAATCTTGTTTTGCCTTCTTCTTCGTTTCTTTTTCATTTTAGCTTTGTCCATGCTCTCAAATTCAGCCTTTTGTTTGATTTTAAAACTTAGTGATCAGGCCAACTTTCACTTTTAAAATGTTAAAAAAGTATATAAAAGCTTGCGCAAATAAACCTTATTTTAGTGATGGTCATAAAATCAGAATTAAACCTTGAGATGGTGAAGTGCAACAAGGTTTATAAAAGATTAGCAGACTAACCATGCAAGCTTGAAATTTTGTTAAGGTTACCTCTTCTGGTTAATGCGATAAGAGGCTCATATTATTAAGCTTGCCAAAACAATCCTCTTATATCGAGATTCAATCTACTAAAATATCTGCCAAAATGAATCTAAAATCTCTCAAAACAAGACTAGAAAAACTTTCTGAAAGCGAGGATGAATCATCATTCGCAAATCAGGAATGCAAAGCGGTCTCAAACTGACGATGAATTTCCCTTCTAAAGGTTTATTTTAGATTTCATGACCATCACTGAAACACGGTTTATTTGGTCAAGCTTTTATAAACTTTCTTTAACACTTTAAAAGTGAAGATTGGCCTGATCATTAAGTTTTCAACACAAAAAAGAAAAAAATTCATTTGAGAGCCTCGACAGTGCTGGAATGAATTAAAAAACCTGTAATAGTACTGTTTACAGTATCTGTAAATAAATCTAAAAAGTGATCTATTTTTCTAAAGGTTTTTACATGCCTTTATTTAATCAAAAAAGAAATAAGCTTTGCATATTAATATTTCTACTCAGTTGTAAAAAAGGATTAGTTAGTCAACCTTCCTATGCTAACCAAATAAAAATGAAAATATAACGTTTGCGGTGAGAACGCCTGCTATCTAGGTTGCTTCTGACATCAAAATCAACCTTACACGATTATCTGGTTCCTATCATCAAAACCAACCTTACACTGTATCTATCAATCCAAATTTATTTGGCTCTAAAATTGAGTAAAATAATAATAAATAATTATTCAGAATTATTGATTGTGTGGAATTATTTTTGAACAAATGAATTTCGCAATTGTAAGCGAAATGTTCTTAACTGGGCTTCTTTTAATTATTTCAAAATAAAGTAACAAAATACTGACGAAAAATTATTTTCGAAATTTAGATTCTCCACTTACTTAGAAAAAAAAACTCGAAAGCAATAAAAAAAATTTAAGAGGAAAAGAAATCAAACTGTATGAATAATATACGCATGTTAAATTTAAACAATATACTTATGCTTAATTAAAATAATGCATACATATTTTTAAGACAATTTTCGCATGTTAAGTTTAAGTAACATAGCATCGTTTGAGAACTTTATATTTTGGACATAGTTCAGTATGTCTGTTTCATAGTGGACACAGCTCAAATCGCATATTTCCAAAAATTGACATGACTCAAAGAGAGCGTTTAAGTAAATTAAAATACCTCAAAATACCTGTTAAATAATAGGCATAGAGTAAATATAAGAGATAGAAATGAAAGAGCATAGCTCAAATGAAAAGGGGCATAGCTCAAGATGAGTAGTTAAGAAAATGAACATACCTCAAAATACATGTTAAAAATGGGCATATCTCAAAATATATGTTAGAGAAAGTGGGCATAGCTCAAAATGCATAGTTAAGAAAATGAACATAACTCAAAATACATGCTAAAGAAAATAGATACAGCGCAAAAAGTACTTTTAAATTCACTATTAAAACCAAATATTAACAACTTAACCATGAATGCCGCTTACTTTTTTAAACACTAAATATAATCATTACGAAAAAAGTCAAAGACTTCGGGATCGGGATGTAACTTTTCAGACCATCTCATTCAGTTTTAAAAATCTTAATTTTACCAAAATATCTTTCTGAAGCTCGAAAGATCAAGAAATCAAAAAGCTATCAAGAAATGAAAAATAAAAAAAAATCCCAAATATAAAAATATTCTTGTCTCTAGAGGGCCACAGACTTTATGAAAACTTTGCCTTCGAAGAAAAAATCTAAAAATAGGTTTAAAATGAGTTTTACAATTTTTAAAAAGTAACTAAAAACTGAAACAAACGTGAGTATTTTAATTAATTTCTTGATCAGCGCTACATATTATTTTTGAAGGAAATATACCGGTATAAATATACTTTGATTCAGATTCTCTGAACGATTAAGTGATATTTAGAAAAGAGAATTCCGACGATTATTAGCACATATTTACTGTCACTATTATAAATTATAGCAATCGTGTAAAAGGAATTGTAGACCTTGAAAGTCTGCTGAAAAAAGTAATAACATTAAAAAAATTTACTAGGTGATTTAAGAATGACCGCGCATTACGAATTTCCTTAGAATCATTATTTAATTCTTCCAATGAAGAAAAATGCTTACAAGAATATTCTGAAAAATGGAATCAAATGCATATTAATCCTTTTTTATGCATTTTGGGGTTCATCCATTTCCTTAAAGGGGCAAATTGAGCTGTGTATGTTTTCTTAAATACGCATTTTAAGCTGTGTCTGTTTTCCTAAATACGTATTTTGAGCAGTGACCTTTTACTTAAATACGTATTTTGAGCTGCATCCATTTTTTTAATACACATTTTGAGCATATTTAGTTTGTATAAAAATTGAAAAACTTATCGGAGTTCAAGAAACTTCTTTTGAAGAAAATGCGATCAGAACTTGCGAAGATGATGTATATGCGTGTCCATTTTTCCCTTCACCAACAAATTTGCTGGGAGTGAGTGTTTTACTTTTTTCTCAACCAACTACGTATTTGTATTTAAGTAAAATACAAAACTATGCAACTCAACCAACTATGCAACTATGCAACCAACTATGCAACTATGCAACCAACTATGCGTTTAAGAAATTTATGCATTGGTATAAAATTTATTGTGCAGTTACTGATAAGTTATATGTTGAGCCATATGTTTATATAACGATTTGTTTTTCATTAGTAAAATTCTATTCCATAGGAGTGCTTCATGCAGCTTGGTAAGAAAGCAATGGATGAAATAAATATTCCTGCAAACTGCCAAATGTCTTTTGAAGCACAGTTGGCCGAAATGAAGAAGGAAATGCAAAAACACCTGTCCAAATAGTTCTATATGTTATCTAAAATGAAAATTTACTAACATAACATGAATTAAAGTAATTACCATACATAGGACTTTGTTTGCTCTTTTTTAAAAGACAAGGAGTGACTACAATTAAATGTGTCGTATGAATGTAAAGATTGGTTTGAAAGTCAGAGAGATGAAGAAGACGATTAACGCAAAGATTTTCGATAATTATTACTAGGGCCCGGATTTTGATGACATTTGCATTTTTTATAATTTTTTGCATTTTTGGACATTTTTTGTCCTCTAGAGCATTTTTTTAGATTAATAGGGCATTTTTTTAAAACTTTGGGGCATATTTTGCATTTTAAAGCATTTTTTAAGTTTTCTGTTAATTTTTTCCAATTTTTATTATTTTTTTTTATCAATTTTTAGTATTACACTCTCTTCCAAACAATGAAAAAATTCTCTAGGATATAAATAAGACGAACCAACATCTTTTCAAATTGAAGAAGAATTGTCAGTAAGTGAGACCGTCTTTCTCAAGTACGCACCAATAACATCAGTAGACGTTGAAAGAAGCTTCTCCAGGTATAAAAATTTACTTTCAAACAAGAGACGTTCGTTTACATTTTAAAATATCAAAAAACATTTAATAATCCAATGTAATTCTGATATTTAGTAATATTATGATATGGAAGTTGTTATGTTCATTAAAATTTCTATACCAAATGAAAATGTTTTGGAGTCAATATATTTTCCTTTTTTTTATTGTTATCTTAGGATATAAAACATATTTTTCAACCTTTAATAAACGTAGAACAAGTATTGCATTGCTTTATATTTTTTGATATGACTCCTAATAATTTTAAAGAGTAAAACTTTGTTATAGTTCAATATTGTTACTTTATTTAAGTCATGTCATAAGGCATTTTTAGCGCAATTTTCGCATTTTTAGAGCATCTTTTAAGGGCATTTTTTGATCTTTTTAAGGGCATTAGTTGAGATTTTTTAGGTCATCAATATCCAGGCTCTAATTATTACATACTTCCAAGTAGTTGATAAATAAAAGATCATCGAATTTTTCAGTATTATCCTTCGTTACTAAAATCAGCACAATTATAAAGAAAACACATATGCTCATGGATTCAAAATTACAATCAATTAAATGCTTCTTCATCTAGAATTTTAAGACTATGCTTTTAGTCTCATGAATATTTACAATTAAAGAGGCAGGTTTAAGAAGTTCTTAATTCGAGACATAACACGAATGTTATATTCTTTTTGTTACCTGTATCGGATTGTGCCACATAGTATAAATCGCAGACTGTTAAAAATTTCTCTCAAAAAATTTATAATTAACAACTTATTAAATTTTCATTTTACTATATTCAACCAAAACAGTCAAATAACAATAAAAAAGACGGTATTCAAACTGTTAACTGTGAGAAAAATCATTTATTGTCTGTTTTCACATAATACAATTAAACAACCAGAATTACGTCCACGTCAACTAGGCTCACAGCTAATGAAAATCGAACTCACTCTCTTCGAAAGTTGGATGCTAAGCCATGTGGTAAGAATTTTGAAGTCATATTTTTATTTTCCACCACCGGACACCTAACATAACAGTGGATGCTTAATAACCATATAGCAAAAGGTGTATGGTGAAGATCTAATGAAGACAATTCAGTTCGCAACAGTGGGGTACATATTTTAGCCGAGGTAGCTAATCGATCATGACCGTCTGAACAGGGGTTCGAATCTCAGCGTTGATACCGCAGTATTTCCTCTATTCTCTTAACGAACGCATAGAATTTCCAGGTTTCTTTACTCCTCAATTACCGATCCGGGACTATTGAAATACGAAACTCTCGCTCACGCATAGATGACAACCCCACAGAACTGCTTAGCGCACAAAATCTATAATTTGTCCTATCTTTCACGATATATGGCCCCCTAGTTAAACAAGTTAAGCCTAATTACACGGTTCACTTAACAAAACACAACACAACCACAATCTAACTCTAATGTTCATTAGCTAACGAAAGCCTAGCATAACCCTGCCCTAAAACACCAAGTAAAAATTCCTTTTTACGATTTCGATACCATGCTTGTTGTAAGTGGTTACAAAATTGAATAATTTCTCATTCACGGTTTTTTAACCATACCAGCTGTAAACAGTTTCAAACTAGTAAAAGTAAAGAGAGGATGCTCTCCGTAAATTTTATGGGAAATTGGATGGACAGATTTCTGCTGTTTATTTTAGAATAATAATTCCAACAATGCAGTCATTCCACAAAAAAAAAAAATGATGGAGTATTATATATGGGTTTATAGCTGTAAAATAGGATTACAATACATAGCTCATTTTCAGAGATCTGGAATAAAATATTTGTGATAAATATATTATTGATATTTTTTTTTAAAAAAATCATATAAAAAAATTTGATCTCTTTAAAAATTAGATGATAGAAAGAGGTGTATTAAAATAAATTAACAAGATTATTATGCTTGATCTTGAAAAGAAGAATGGATACATTAAATTTTCCCGTAGTTCTATCAATCATTGAAAAGAAACGGCTAGAATTTTGAGCTTAATAAGCTACAGTGAATGAAAATTAAATTATAAAATATACTCATGTTATAGCCAAAAATGCGATGTAAACTGATTCTGACGTTAGAAAAATTAATAAATAGAATTGAAATAGAAAGAGTGATAGTAGAACTTGGAACCTGTGTTCACTAAACGGAAAAATATATCTTCTGAAGGTCTCACTAAAGTGAAAGCATCAAAAAATGACCAAAACTATTTTTTACTATCGCAGAGTTTTATTATTGAAGTTAATTTTCTAGAAAACTGGAACTATATCATAATTTAAATGTACTGTATGCATAAGTGTAAAATGGCCCAATTCTCTGATTAGCAGAATCATTGAATGTAATATAGTCGCAACAAAATCGGTACATTTAAGCGAATTTGAATTTTTTGTTCTGTTTTGGTACAGCTTAATAAATTGAGCATGTTTCAAATCAAGTTGAACCAATGTACCGTTTAGTTTAAGTAGAATTAAATTGCATAATGTTGTGGTTCAACTTATCACATTAATTGAGTTGCAGGAAATTTTAATTGTTCAACACAATTCAAGATTTCTAACAGTGAATACTTCTTCAAAAAAGTTAAACACAGTTTTCACAATTAGATATTTAATGAATATTAAAAGCATTCTTGGATTTCAGTTGAGACTCTTTCCAATTTCTTTGGCGTGAAATTTGTTTAATTTTTTATTAATAATCTCTTCGAATTATTATACTTTATACGTTATACAAAATTAATAAAATATTAAAATTGAAAATATGTCTAACCAATTAGAATGTCAATTTTCTTTTTCTTCTGCCTGTTTAAATAATTTATTTGTTAGCTTGTGAATAAATTAAATATATGTTTAAACATTAAGATAGAAAATAATTACACTTGTTCAAACTTTACTTTTAACTTTAAAATACTACTGTATTTGTTTGTTATTTAAAAAAAATTATATAATTTTTACGGGAATGCTTTGTAAAGATGTGCAATAAGGCACTATCTGAAGTAAATATTCATAAAAATTTCAAAGAAGGATTTGGTTAACAATGAGCAGATTTTGCGCATAAATATGGGAATCATTTTTGAATTAGATTTATATTTACTCAAAGCAATAGTCCTATGCTTAATCAAAGTTCAAACTAAGGCAAACAACGTTGAAGAGCACATCATTATTTTTAATCAAAGTTGTTAGCAAAATGTTGAATTCTCCAACTGAGCTTTTATCCACTAATAACTCGAAATTTAAAAAAATTAAAGGAACAAATAAATATTGTACTGATATCAAATAAGACTTAACTTACATTCTTCATCGAGAAATTTCAATTTTTGCTAACCTTTTTAACTGCGATAGAATTGTTAATATTTTATAGTTTCCATAAAACATTAAAATTTAGTTGACCATGCCTTAAAGACAAACAATAAACAGTCTGCGCAAATGCAATATAATATATTTATATTTTAAATATTATTATTTTGATTATCTTGAACTTTAGACCGATACCTTTGCATCATTTTATTACTTGCCTTCTACTTTTTCTTCTTCTCTTCGTTACTCTCATCAAATTTATGTTTTTTTTATTGAAAAAATATTACTTAGAAACCCTCTTTGTACCTTTTTTTTCTTCAGAAAAAAATGCTATTTTTTATCACTTTCAACACATTTATATAAAAAAAAGGGCATTTTATGTCAAAACTTATTTATTGGCTTTAAAACTTCAATCCATTTGAAAGAACTATTCGTGAAGCAGAAAGTATAAGAGGCAAAGGAGTATACAAAAAAACCGTGACGTCAGATAAGCTTAGACTTTATACCCCCACTGTAGGAGGCGTTGGGGATGGAAAAACAACCCAAAGAATGCTTTTAGTCTCTCGCGTCTGTCATCCCCAATGAAGACAAGGTGATGTCGCTTTGCTCTCTGTGTTCTTCTTTCAGGAGGATGGAGATGAAAATGTTGAGGTAGAAATAAATCTGCTGCTTATGATATAGATATCGCTGCACTAGAAATGTTTATTTTGATCTTGCAATAAATACACATTAACTGATTAATTTTTGTCTCAAAAACTAATTAGTAATATTTCAGAATTCATGAGGTAATACATATGATTTACCATGAACCGGTAAATGATATGTTTAACTCATCAAGCTACACAATAGAAGTTTATTTTGATCTCCTAGTAAATGCAGATTAACTGATTAATTTTTGTCTCCAAAGCTAATTGGTAATTTTGAACTGATGAGGTAAAACATATGATTTATCACCAACTGGCAAATCATATGTTTTATCTCATCTGCACAATATAAGTTTATTTTGATCTCGTACTAAATGCGCATTGACTGATTAGCTTTTGTCTCAAAAACTAATTAGTATTTTCACAATTGATGATGTTTTTTTAATTTTTTATTTCCAATGGCAAGGCAAAAAAGTACAAATAGAAAGATGAAATAAATGACGAATGCGTAGGATAACAAAGAAAGAAGACCGAAGTCATTGCCTTAAAAGTTCTCTTGCTTCCAAAT